TGTGGCTCAAGTGGTAGAGCGCTAGCCTTGAGCTGAAGAGCTGAGGGACAGCACCCAGGCCCAGAGTTCAGGCCCCACGACCGGACCCAAAAAAAAAAAAAAAATGAGCACCTGGCGCCTCGATCTGATGTTTCACAACGGAGCCCTCCGTCCAGCACCAGGGGTGTGCGTGTAATAATAGACATGGGAAGATTTGTTACAACTATATGGTGGATATATGAATCGATTCTGCATGTTAATCTGGTAGCCAAACAAAACACACATCTGAAACCTAATTTCCAACCAACACTCGAATTACATTCCTTCATTATTAGCTTGAAAATCAATGCTTAGCATCACTTTTCTTTAACCTACAGCTTAAAAAAAAGAAAGAAAAAGAAAACAGCATTCAGGTAATGCCCAATTTAAATAACTCTTAAAACCCTAAATCAGACACCGGTGGCTCACGCCTGTCACCCCAGCTACGCGGGATGCTGAGCTCTAAGGATCACAGTGCGAAGCCAGCCCGGGCAGCAAAGTCCAAGAGACTCTCGTCTCCAATGAACCACCAGAAAACCAGAAGTAGAGCTGTGGTTCAAGTGGTAGAGCACTGGCCTTGAAAAATCTCTGGGACAGTGTCCAGGCCCTGAGTTCAAGCCCATGACCAACATAAACAAAAATATATATGGAAATATTTACTCCTAAAAAAAAAAAGTCATTTCTTCTTCCAGTTTATTGTTGTGTATTTTACCTTATTTCCATTTTTGCCTGCACTTTCAAACAAATTCAAACACAATTTTACTTTTTGTCAGTCACAGGGCTTGAGCCTGAGCCGTCCCTGAGCTTTTCAGCTCAAGGCTGGAGCTCTAACACTTCGAGCACAGCGCCACTTCCAGTTTTCTGGAAGTTAATTGGAGATCAGAGTCTCTTGGACTTTCCTGCCCACGCTGGCTTTGAACCATGATTCTCAGATCTCAGCCTCCTGAACAGCTAGGATGACAGGTGGGAGCCTCCAGCACACAGCAATTTTTATATTTTTTATTCCTAAATTACTGAATTGCAATGGCAGTTGCTGATTTATTTCTCCTTTTTATACATATTTCAATCACAGTTCTGTGTATTTTTCATTAAGTTACAGGACATTTTTTCTGGGACAAAAAGAGGCAAAATTAATTTCAAGAAAACACACAGTAAGGGGCTGGGAAGGTGGCTCAGTGGTAGAGCGCTTGCCTTGCTTGCTTAGGCCCTGGGTTTGATTCCTCAGTACCACATAAGCAAAAAGAAAAAAGCTGGAAGTGGCCTGTGGCTCAAGTGGTAGAGCACTCGCCTTGAGCTGAAGAGCTGAGGGACAGCGCCCAGGCCCAGAGTTCAGGCCCCACAACCAACAAAAAAAAAAAAAAAAGAAAGAGAGAGTTCAGGCCCCACAACCAACAAAAAAAAAAAAAAAAAGAAAGAAAACAGAGTGACCCTTCTGCTCCATTCCCACCACACTTCCTCTCTGACCAGAGCGCTGGGTGTGTGGACACAACTGTGCACGCGTGGGGCTCACTGAATCTCAGTTTTGGAGCACACGGCGAGCGTGCTGCCAGTGACAGATCGTTGCTCACGCGCGAACGCCCAGCTAATCACCTCTGCCTCCCAGCGCCGTGCCGTTTGCTGCTCTCTGCTCTCCAGTGCCTGGTGCTGTGTGAAAACAGACCCCCCCACGCCCCGCCTCCACAGAGACCCCAAGCCTCCTTTCCCCTTCCCACCCCTGAAGATCACCACCTGGCAGGTGATGACACCTGCCTTTCTCGGGTCACACGCCGGTCACGCCCGCCAGGAGACATTAGCCAACACACACGTCCCTAGACAACAACGGCACCCTCCAACAGACACTTCAGGAGCACCCCCCTTCCAGACTCACAGAAAACACAGCCGCGGCAATCCCGTGCCACGGTTCCCACGTTCGCGTCTCAGCGCAGCGCCTCGCGGGGCAGCAGGCAACGCGGGCGCCGGAGGGCCGCAGGGAGGGGGCGCCGACCCAGGCAGGGGAGCGGGGACCCCACCACCGGCGGGAGACGCTCCAGCGATCACACTGCGCGGGTGTTTACCGTGACACTGCTGCTAATGACACGTGTGACTGCGCTGTTGTGGAATGCGCTCACACTCGTAAAAAGCTTCCTGCAGGACAGACAGCATGCCATGTCACACCCGCGTGTCACACCCACGGCGGCCCCATTTATCTGCTGTGTGAAGGTTCAGGACAGCACCGAGAGATCATGTCCAAGTCAGGTGTCAGGGGCTCACGCCTGCCACCCTAGCTACTCAGGACCCCAGTTCAAAGCCAGCCTGGGCTGAAAAGTCTGTGAGGCTCTCTCATCTCCAATTAACCAGCAAAAAGCCAAAGTGAAGCTGTGGCTCAAGTAGCAGAGTGTCAGCCTTGGGTGACAAAGCCGAGCGTGAGGCCCTCCATTCAAGGAACTGGACCACGCTTCCAGGTCTGCGTGACTGCGCCCTGTGGTGGTTGGTGACACTGGGTCACCCAAGTCTCAGAACAGAGCGCTGTCTCCGGGTGACGCTGACTACCTGACAGGTCAGCAAATCACCCACCTCTCACCCTCCCTCACTCCAGTCAGCTCCGGAAGACGCTAAAAACACAACACGTCTACCAGCCAGGCATCGTGGCCCATGCCTATAACCCCAGCATCCAGACCAGGGAGGCAGAGGATCTGAGGATTGCGATTCAGAGCCAGCCCAGGCAGACAACCCGGGGAGCCGGGTCTTCAACTGACCTGCGACCAGCGGAAACTGAAGGCTTGGGGGTAGTGTAGCCAGGAACAAAGAAGCTGAGCAAGAGAGCAAGCCTCAGTACCGGCGTGTGCGCACACACATGTGCACTCACACTGCAC